GAGCAAACTGCGTAGCGTGTAAAGGAGGACGATTCTTCGACCGGCCCCGGAAAAGAGTAGCTCTAGCCGAAAGAGCCGCGAATATAGGCCGCCCTAGTAAGAGGTCCTCATCTAGCTTTGGCTATAAAGAGTGTGATGTCCATCTTTGTAAATTAGGAGACTGCTTTGTAGTTTATCATTCAAAATGACACGATTTAGCCGTAAAAAAGTGGTTTTTTAATGACTGGCGCTAACTTTTGGTGTTCTTCGCTAAATTAGGGGCTCGCTTCAGCGTACCATACAGGCTCTTCAGGAGGGTGTTCCTGGTGGCACCTAAGGGGATAAGCTTCACTCCTGACCCTTCCAAAGGAGTGTCTTCTTCCACGGAATAGATAACTACCTCTAGTTAATATTATAGAGACATTAGGGATTGATTTTGTTAAAGTGTTATTAGAAATAGTAATAGTAGTCGAGAGAGTAATTCCCGGATATAATTCGGTACCGATTTAGGGTAGTTCCGAATTTATATTTCTATTTAGTCCTTTAGCCACAAATTTTCCTTAGCTTACACTGCCTCCGCTAAAGCCTCTACCGTCCTCGTCCCCCTCTATCGTCGTATAAACACACCAAAGGCTCGTAGGTCGTCCCTAAGGTATGTGCGTTCCGTAACCTTAATTAACTTAAACTCCTTTGCCGTCTAACCCTTAAAATACTCCCAAAAGTCCTAGAAAAGGAATTCTCCTTTAATACGGCCGTTATAAAAGGACTTACGGAACTTCTACGAGTATACCGTTACGTCTCCCGTGAGAATTGGACTAGGATCTAGTGTTGCCGTATTATTAAATGTTTCCGGAGTTAATTCTGGCTCCGCCGAAGTATCCGCCATTGTGTCGAATTCGATTCGTAGGCGATCTAATGGGTTTCTAGATAGGTTTCTTGAAGGTCTAAAGTTCTAGATTCAAGGATGTTGAATTAATAGTCTTCGTAGAGTAACTGTCGTATTGTGATAGCTCTTCTCCGACGTACAATCGTCCTAATCGAGTCTCAAGAGAGAAGTTGCCTTCCCTCCACGATCTAGAAAAGGTAAACTGCCCTTTAAGGAAAATATAGTGAAGTACTCCTTAAGTTAAAGCCCAAAATCCGCTCTACAGCCTGAGACCTTTTCTGTTTATAGTAAGGTTGACAATACAAGCTTGCCACTAATCAGTGTCGGTACAGTACCGGTTCATATACCACGCCGCATGTGTGAATATATTCTAATGCGAGTATAGCGACAGAGTAATAAAGTGTGGTTCAAAATCTGTGTATATTCTAAGAGAGTGCGAGGAGAGCCAGACTATATACTACGAAACCCCACCGAATCTCCACCGAAACCAGTCCGGCTAAGCTCTGACCCCTGACTTTGACCCGCACCCCCTTTCCGGACCGAAGTATGCTCATGCAGGGACCTGTGGACCAACAATAAATCCCTCTTCCAGGTCCTCTTATAGATATTTAGATTCTTGAAGCACACCTACCTACCTACCTAGGTAGAGCTTCATCGCTATTGCCCTGCTAGCAAACAGGTGCACCACAAGTTGCAAACCAAAGAAACATATGCAAGCAAACCGACAAAAATCGAAAGAGTCAAATCGGCGATACATTATTACAGAATCTATTGTAACGGCTTTGCCATATAGTCTTGCTTCGGATAGGATTTGGGTATTCGTTTAACGTTGTTTGATCTCGGTTCAAGGTTGTTTGGTCTCGGCTAACACTGTCAAAAAGGGGTTCCCCGCTTACGATGCAAAAATTCCCACCAGAACTACAAAATGCTTCCAGAGCAAAAAGATGCACAAGACCAAAGTAGGTCGCTATAGGAATCGAACCAATATCCCCAGAATCAGAATCTGATGTGCTAACCATTACACCAAGCAACCGGCACACTCGATGAGGAGTGAGCTGTTTCGAGCAACTTCAGCCTTGTGAAGAAGATGAAGATGATGCGATTTTTTCTTATTTCATTACATACGAGTGTTGAGGAAATGGACCATCTGTGGGAGTGAGAAATGCCGGGACCGGAGAAGGATTTGCGAGTCATTGGATGGATAGTGAGTTGTCAGTTGTGGAGGGGAGTGCGTCCAAATATATGCAAGGTACGGGTATCAGTGGAGTCTGATGGGAGAACTCGCAGTTATGGGGTATTCGGTATCACTTCTAGTGCTTGTCTCCTATCTAATGAGCAATATTTCTTGTTATGTTACTCTACTGAGTCTCAAACTAAACTTATTTGAATCGAAGCTCATTATCTTCGCTTCTCACGAGCTTCCTTCTAGAGGCTGGGGTATCAAGCTTCGGATTCGCTCTCGCCAAACTAGGCATCTTCAAATGACGAGTAGACTTGGTCCTGCAGGCTGCTGACAGGAAAGCATGAAAAGCCTCCCAAAACACATCCAATAAAGAGTCAGACATCTTCCAAAAGTTAAAGATATACGCAAGCCGAGTGCTGTAAGTAGGCCTGTAACGGAGAGCGGTTCTTGACATTGGCCCGAAAGCCGGTCCTCCGCTAGGCGTGTCCGCTGGGAAAGCCAAATTCCTAACTCCGACGCGGTCGGTCTCCAGACCATAGCATAACGTGTTCAGCGTCAACCTACATACAACCTTGCAGCCTGCTCTTGTCTTGTCTTTGTCTTTTGTGCAGTACAGTATAAGATCTCCAATTTCGCCTCCATATCTTTCTCTCTGTCTTTTCTTATGCCAATGCGCTCCTTCTTCCGATCATTCACACGGCGTCGTCCACTGAAAACAGCTACCACTCCCGCCCCGCAGAAGCAGATAGTGACGAGAGCGATGTCTGGAGGAATGGCCGCAGCGGTTCTGTACGCCTGCTCGGTGAGCAGTCCGAAAGCTCTAGGAGCTGTACCTGAGGAATCGGCGACGAAGGCGCATCATGCGAAGAATGGGAAGGGATTCGTGAATCCATGGCCCAGCTGGGTGGATTTCAATCCTATGGCTATTGGAGGGGCTATGATATGGTACGCTTACTTTTGTTTACTTTACTTCTTGTCACTTCTGTCAAATCCACCTTCAACTCACTTGCCCTCCTCTCCTTTACAAACAACTTTTTACACACATCTCTTCGAGTCCAGAATTGAATAAAAGACAACCTCAGCTAATTAGATCACCAGGCGCAGAATAACAGGAAAACTGAGCTTCCCCGACACAACCCCTCCCACCGTAACCGTAATCGAACCTACCTTCCTCCCAACACGCACATCCTCCCCCTCCCTCCGCGCAACCTGGCTCGGACACGCATGCTACTATGTCGAATTCCCCAGTGGTTTGCGCGTGCTCTTCGACCCCGTCTTCGAAGACCGCTGCAGCCCCTTCTCATTCATGGGACCCAAGCGGTACACTGAGCCACCATGCCACATCAAAGACCTCCCCGTCGTAGACCTCGTCGTCATAAGCCACAGCCACTACGACCACCTCTCCCACCCCTCAGTCGTGAAGATCCACGAAGCGCACCCGAACGCGCATTTCCTCGTCGGGTTGGGATTGAAGAAATGGTTCCATGAGTGCGGGATCACGAATGTAGAGGAGATGGATTGGTGGACTGATGTCGATGTCACTCTCTCCCCAAGCACGGGCGAGAAACGTATCTCCTCCGCCTCTTCGGAACCTAACTCCACGGACGCGAAGAAATCAGAGGATATCAAAGCGAGGATATCGTGTCTACCCTGCCAGCATACCTCGGCGCGAACGGCGTTCGATAAAGGCGCTACGCTATGGTGTTCATGGGCTGTCGAGTCCGGCGGGAAGAGCGTGTGGTTCGGAGGCGACACAGGATATCGCCATGTGCCCGAACTGCCCAAGGGGGTCGATGATTACGGAGAAGAGTACAAGGACCTCCCTCACTGTCCGGCGTTTAAGCAGATCGGTGATTTGAGAGGCCCGTTCGATTTGGGTCTTATTCCTATCGGAGCTTATGATCCGAGGTTTATTATGAGCTCTATGCATGCGAATCCGTTTGATAGTGTGAATATCTTCATCGATACAAAATGTAAGAAGGCAATGGGTATTCACTGGGGCACTTGGGTTTTGACTACGGAGGACGTGCTGGAACCGCCACAGCTTTTGAAGAAGGCGATGAAGTGGAAGGGGTTGCCAGAGACCGGAGTTTTTGATGTCTGCGATATTGGAGAGAGCAGGGACTTTTGAAGGATCGTAATGGCGGGGGATTGTATCACTTAGAGCTTGATCACCAGGCATTGTACAAACATTAATCACAAGTCTTGAATATGCATTTCGCAAGAGCTATCGCAATTTTCCCTATTCCTATGGAGTACACGCTGGCGAATCGATCATAACTTTGACCTCATCACCGTATTGTACACTCTCCAGCCCGCCCTAGAATTTCCACAAGAGAATTGTTTACTTTTAGAGAAGGAAATAGACGAGACGTTAGTGTGAGAAAATTCGTTTATCCACATCGCAGTCGTTCCTGATACGATTCAAAACGTTTAGAAATCAGGTGAAGAGCCATCATTCCTTATTTGAAGAACGTATCATCCGCTCCTGAAGTTGAAATCTGTAGAAGGTCAATAGCTGCGAACCATTCGTGGGGTGAATACATACCGACTTAGTAACGGCGGGGCGGTCGCTCATAATCATAAGGAGCATCTCTTGGAGGATAATCTCTTGGTGGAGGACGATCATAAGGAGCTCTGCCGTTGACGTATGGGTCAGGTGGGTAATCACGACGGTAAGGATCCTCAAATCGACCACGCGGGGGTGGGTAGTCATCAACTGGACCGCGAGCTCTTGGAGGAGAGCGGTATCCACGACGATCATCATCGTAGTAACCACGGCGGGGAGGGCTTCTATCACGGTAACCATCACGTCGAGGGCTGTATCCACGGGATGGGCCACGACGGTCGTACTCATCACCAGGGTGGGCTCGGCGGGGAACTGGGGATCGGGAACGAGCTCGGGAGTCGCGGGGAACATCCGGTTGAGTCTAGATACCATTAGATCAAGCCGCAGAGGAAGACACGTAGACGTACATCAGCGACACAAGTGACACGAACTCCTTTGAACTCGCGGCCGTCAAGCTTCTCTACTGCAGTCTTGAGGTCCGCAGCAGTCTCAAACTCAACAAAGCTTCTATGATGGGTGTTAGTTAAAATCCACTGGGAAGAGACCAAATGACTTACCCTTTGCCATCCCGGTCACGACCAGTCTCGGAGTAGACGACATCGAGGCTTGATTGGCGAGCAAAGTCTTTCAGGTCCTATATCCAGAATCCATGTAAGTCGATATCCAGGCAGGTTGGTGTACAAACGCCAAGGTAGTAGTAGTTGTTGCCATCCAAACAGTTCCCGAGATAGGTACATGGTCCAACGGTTTGAGCTTCGTCCTGCGCACAGTGATCGCTATCCAGACATGCAATGGGCAGCAAGGTACAATAGCAGAAAGAAGTCGAAACAGGATAAGAAAGGCCAGAAGAGGGGGAGAGAAGTCCACCAAGTCCAAAGCTGCTCAGGCAAATGCACTAGCACGCTGCATGGTTCTGATCACCAACGCAGGGCGTGATGCTGGCCAGGACTGACTGACTGACTACTAACTCTGCTGCCGAAGGAAGGTTTGTCTGTACAATGAAGGCGTCCAAATATCATGTCATGTTGCGCAGAGTCCAAATAGCATTATTCTTTGAGATCCAAGAGTCCGGATGAAGGAACGGGGGAAACAGACCTGCCAGCTGGTCTCACCTGGAAGTCCAGAGATTTGCATGCGATGAGGGGTACGTCTCGGACGCGGAGCAGTGCGCTCAGTGTTGGCGAAGGTATCACGGTTGCGCGTACCACGAGCAAACTGAACAGTCAAGCGCTCACCCATGAAGTCCGAGCCATGGAAGGCTACACGAGGAGTAAGTTATGAGATGGACCTTGGGAGTTGTTGATGCGGCCATACCGGGAACCACATCGCGGGCATCCATCGCATCCTTATATTCGATGAATCCGAAGCCATTCATGAGCTTGATCTCGGTGATCTCTCCAGTGCCATGAGTGTTGAAGTGCGCCTCGACATCGGCCTTGGTAGCTACGATAGCATTAGCAAAGATCCGGAGCGGCGCATACGCTGGGACTGATCGAGAACTTGTCGCGTCGACGGTACTGACCACTGCGAGGTAGATTGCCCAGGTAGAGCCTGGTCGACGATACCTCAGTCATGGTGAAGTGAGGCTGTTGTCGCGCTGGCTGTGGGGTTCAGCGAAAGCTTGAGGAGTGGCGAGAAGGAATTGCGAAAGCGACGGGACAACGCAAGATATCTATCACTGGTTGGCGCTAGCAGATGCCGTTGATAATGTCGACGTTGCGCACAATGAGGCAGGGCGGTAAAGTGAAATGCTGCGATGGGATGGGATGGGAGGGGAGGTGATGGGAGATGATGCGGTGCGATGCGCAACACAGAAGGCGGGCGTGAGGAGAAGAGAGGGAATAGAAAGCAAGGCGACCAGGCGACCAGGCGACCAGAGGCGGAGATCCATTGGGCGTTGGAGCAGTGCGCTTTGGGCCAAGCAAGCCACGCTCAAGCCATCTGTCACATGATATTTGAGCTAGCCTGCTTTCGTCTCATCTTGGACTTGAGGCAGGGCTGAATCTATCTTGGATTATTACCTGTCTCTGTTGGATCTCGCGTATACATACATATAATATGCATACTGAATGTGAATATCAAATCTCACAGACTGCATTGGCACGGCTCAAAGCCATTACAGATTGATTACATTGTGGCATTCAATTCATGGTCATTACCCAACTCCCCAAACCTAGCTACAACCAAACTCCCTCCAGCCCAGCCTCATCCACAATAACTGATAACAAACGCCCGTCTGCACGTACCCATATAATCACGGCGATCAGCTTTCATGTGCACA